AACTCTCCGCTTATATATGCATATAAAATGTCTTTTTATTTTTTATTATAACAATAATAATATGTTTTCCTTCATTCATTTTTTTTTTCATTACTTTTATCAAAGATTCGGGGGTTTAAGGTATATATTGCCCTGTCCGTCCATCCGTCTGTCTGTATGTTTGTTTTCATTTTGATTTTTTTTTCCATTTTACTTTTTTTTCATCTGTTTTGGAATTATTGCTGCATTTTTACATGTAACTGCATGATGTCGGAAACGCAACCAATTTTCTCTTTTTCTATGTCTCTTCTTTCCATAAACATGATTGAAAATATATTCCGTTCAAATATTCAGTTTTTGTAAAATAAATTAAAAGACTGCATGGTACTGCTGGATACTTATCCATTGCGTTTTATCTCGATTGATGTGTGCATTTGAAGACAAATTTATATATAATAAAACTTAAATCAAATATAAGTTCAAAGAGAATTGGGATGGAGTTTGGGGGACTTGAACCAGAAACCTCAAATGCAAAAAGCACATCAGAGTAAACCATTAGGCTTGTATATAATATACCCAAAGGCGGTGTCTTTTGTGTTCATGTAGCCCAATTTAAGAATGTTTTAGAAAATGCGATAATTGAAATTCAATACCGAATACAGAAAGTTTTATTTATGGGGCCTTCCCCTACCCTTACTTTTTTACGAGAATAGAGAATAATCGCTGGATATACATGTATAGTCACTGACAGGCTGGTCAACCTCCCTTCCCCTTCCATCCACACTTTTTGTTGCAGTATGGTCAAATTCTCCTACGGTAATATACCGGTAATAGTTATCAATGAAAAAAAATTCTTGAAAAAGTTGAAATGATAAAATTTAATACCCCCCTCCCGTACTTGTGTAATTTGTATTTGGTTATAGCCTTGCAGAATTACTCATTATTATAAAATAATGAACATATTTTCTATGTTTGTTAAGTGCACGCCATGTATGTACACCTCTTTGAAAGGGAGAAGGGCATTTAACACATAGCAAAACAAAACAAGAAACAGTGGGCTAGGACCCTCTGTCCCCTTTAAGGAATGAGAATGTTTTCATATATTAGCATACCTCTCGACACAGACATCTAAGATATGGAGCACATTATCCAGTTATCTAGACGACAGAAAGTACTAGTTTAATTATTTCTATTGACCAATCACGGGGCCAAAGAGAGGCATGAAATTGCACTGAATTTAAGAGAATTCAAAGAAAAATGGCATCCATGGGTAGTATAAGACTGCGATAGAATCTGACAATCAGATAAAATATGGTTCCCTTACCCTCAAATAAATAATTAAATTGAAATTATTAGAAATATATATATTTATCATTTTATTAATCAATCCCGATGTATTTTCATAGTATTTAAATATATGTTTGTGTGGTAAATGAATAGCATACAGTTTCGAAGTACAGTATAATGAGTTCATAAACATATGTAAATGCTAACTAAGAAAAGAACTGCAAACGATAGTAATGGCGTAATATCCTTTTTTCACTTCACGCCTTTTTTCGCGTTGCATTGCAGGAAAATAATTCAATAGGTTTTTTGATCGGGGAGGGGGGGGTTAAAGGCGTTTATATAACGTGAGATAAAACGGGGTAGGGGGGACAAACTTTTAGTAGAATCTTTGGGTAACATTTGTTGATATATGTATTTATACGAGAAATACTACTGAAAATCATAATACAAGGCATTTTATTTTATTGAAAAATAGTACATCTTAGGCAAGGAAGCAATTTCTTTGGAGAGGGGGGCACAACCCAACAAAAATCCCTTGACAAGAAATGAAAAAGGCCACAGGCGTCATTATTGATGGAGTATAACTGTATTTTATTATATGATTGAATAATTTCCCTCTTTCTGATTGGCTGAGATCCAACAATGTAAGAAAAATACTACGTTATATTGACCTACACGTGACCTTCCAGGTCAATATAAGGAATTATTGCAGGTCAATATAATGAATTATTCCTGTTCCATTTTTTCATGTTACAATGTGTTCTTGTTGAAATTTCTCGTTAAAACTTTCAATTAAAGCAAAAAAAAAAAAAAAAAACAGTCTTGTAGGAGTTTGCTATCATTTAATCATATAATAAATCAGTTATTGCTGTTTTTTTGAGGTCAATACGATGATTTAGACACCTTCGAAGTACAATATTCACCTCGCCCTTCGGGCTCGGTGAATATTGTACTCCTCAGGTGTCTAAATCATCGTATTGACCTCAAAAACCAGCAATAATTGTATAGTATATGTTGGCAATTTATTGTGAACACCCTAGCCCCACCCCACTTCCACCCACCCCCCAATCACCACCATCAATGCTTCTACAGACCAGACATTACCCATTAATTCGATTTAAATACAACACATATCAAAAATCATAAATACATGTACTTTTATATAGGGTAAAGATCGATATTATATACATGTACTAGATGTTTTACCTTAGACAAAAGTTATCATGTAATTATGAGTTTTTAGGAATATTTCTAGCTTAAATACACACAGTGGCGGATTTAAGGGGGGGGGGGACCTCATTTTTACCCTACAAAATCTCTAGAATCCATGCAGGAGCTTCCGGGGGCTTCGCCCCCCGGACCCCACCCCCAGACCCCTTGCATACTTTCTGCGCCCCCCCCCAAGTTTGTTCTTTTGTCGTATATAAGCAACCACCTCCAACCCCCTACCACCCCACCTCACCCCACGCACCCCCTTCAAAAAAATCGAATCATCTACCTGAAAGAAAATGTGGGATTTAGATGTTTTGTTTTTATGAGGAAATACTCCTTCTTCCGATATACTCTATCCTCGCCTTCACAGTTTAAAAATTTTTGAATCTGTCAAATTTTCTTATTATTATAGCTCGCCTAAGTTTACATCCATTTAATTCAATATTAAAGGCAGTTTGGCCATTAAAACTTGCGTGAGTGCAAAGAAGAGATCATTAGTAATGGATTAATAATTTAAAAACCAGTGTCAAAAAGTTAATTTCTCTTATTTACAATTTTTTCTTAAAGGGGGGCGGGGGTTAGAAAATTTTATCAATTAAAATAGGGCTTTAAAATATAAACAGATTTTCAAATACTCATGGAAATGGAAAAATGACCCTCAAATCTCTCCGTAAGTTTAACTTTTAATGTGAAAGTCAACATATTAGATTGATAAAGTACATTTTCTAAAAATTTAATCTAGTTAAAATTGGCAATAAAATGGCTATATATGCTGCTTTTAGTCAGTAAACGTGTTCTACACCCCCTTCTCCCCAAACACTCCATTCCCCTGAAACAATAAATTCATTTTTATGAATTTGTGAAATGACAATTCATAATACCTGTAAAAAGTAATTGTTCAAAGGGGGGGGGGGATATTTTAAAAATATTTTCCGTTTTCCTTCGATTTCTATAGTGAAAAAAAAACAAGTTTTACAAAAAATATAGAGTTATCTCTCTGTTTTCCCAAAAAGTTATGATTTATTTTGAAAATTCACATATCTATCTATCTATCTATCTATCTATCTATCTATCTATCTATCCGTCTGCCTGTCTGTCTGTCTGTCTGAAAAATCATTCAAATATGTTTACTTTTTAAATTAACTCGGATATACGCGGCAGAATATTACTATCGTTCGCAGTTCTTTTCTTGCTCTCAAGCATGTGCATTAAAGCTATTGTAAAAGATACAAGGCAGTGGCAGTTGCAGTGAGCAGTTGGCAGTAAGCAGTTGGCTGTCGTATGTGGAATTCCATATTCCACTGATTTTGTTTTGTGTTTTTTTTTTTTTTTTGGGGGGGGGGGGGGTTGTTGGTTGGACAGTCTGAAAAATCTTTCAATTTTCTTAAATGCTCCACAGACACTTGGGGTGTGGACCCCCCCCCCCCCTTTCCATTTTTTTTTCTTTTTAAATCTGGGGTCGAGTCACCTTTTTCCTATTTTTATATTCTAATATGCACTATATGTTATCAACAATGTAACTCTTTTGTCTCTATATGCTGTTTTTAAATATACCGTTTTCGACTGATCTCTTTTTATGTATCAGTCGGAAACGGTATATATAAAACAGCATATAAGAGACTTACATTGTTGATAACATATAGTGCATATTAGAATATAAAAATAGAAAAAAGGTGACACAACCCCAGATTTCAAAAGAAAAAATGTAAAAGGGGGGGGGGGGTTCCATACCCCAAGTGCCTGTAAAATGCTCACATAATTTGTGAAAGTTTTTTTTTCTTTTTTTAAATATGTTTGATTTTGGTTTTGACCGATTAATTGATGAAATGCTATGTATACCCCAATGTTGATGTTAGGAACACTTCTAGTATACCGGTCCACAGGCACTTGTTTCGGTAATAAATTTTTAACCCATAGTATAATAATAACACAAGGTATCTAACTCCGAATTACACGGAGTACCCCCCCCTCCCCCAGAATCGCACTCATTTACACTTTCAGAGGAAATACACTGACAAACTGTTTATACCTATGTTTTCTACGATAATTTATCTACACAACCATATATGGCATGCTTGTCTTTATTTTCTTTAGTCTCCGTAAACAGCGTCAAAACACTGCTCGCCGTGTGGAAAAGTCGAATTCAACCATGAAATGGTATGTGCTAATCCCGCACAGAGAACAAAATTAAAAAATGAATGGGTTTAAAAATTCAATTCCAGTGTTTAAATATTGCATGCATGAGTAAATAGAACTTGTTTACGTCTGATTTTCCCTGAAAACATTACGATGTTTATCCGATGTAATTTTAGAAACAGATTTTTAGCCAATCAAAATCTCTGTGCGGGATTAGCACATACCATTTCATGGTTGAATTCGACTTTTCCACTCGACGAGCAGAGTTTTGAAGTTGCAAGAAGAATTCCCAGACGAATTTAAAGCACCATCTCGTTGGGGCAAGGCACTCGGTGATGATAAGGAAACTGTTGAACAAGAAGAAGTAGAAGACTGAAATATGTAACTTGGCTGCATTTTGACAGTGGAGAGGGGTTTACTTGGGTTAAATGGGAACAATCCACTCTCTTTAAATGCTTTTACAGCAACATCTGGGGTGGTGGATTTCATCCATGCGTTTCTAAATACACTAGCAAATTTTGTTTTTGTGACGTATTCACCAATATTTTGTAATTGGTAATCCCTAACTGCTCCCTAACTCCAAGAATCTTTCAGACAATTAATGAGGCGCAGATCACATGGTTGAATAATATGGGAAGCATGAGCAAGAAAGCAGTAAAGTTCAACCCCATTTTCTCTGCATAGGTCACATACTTCTAGAGTGAGATGGGTTGAGTGACAATCAACAAGCAGAAGAGCAGGTTTCTTCACACCAGAAACATTGATATGAGGTATGAAAACATCTTTCATCCATGTGTAGAAAAGCTCCTTGTCCATCCAACCAGTAGCAGTCCTACCCATCACTGCCTCTGGAAAACCATCAAGGGGATTATAAAAAAACCTCTGGCCAGGAAATACAATAAGAGGCTTAAGAAAATGCCTACTAGCAGACATGCAAGCTAGCACAGTAACTTGAGACTTGTCAGAGGAAGTAAAATTATAGATACTTGGAACCCCTCTTGGTGCCAAGACTTTCCCGCTTTTAGGACACAGTGGAAATCCTGACTCGTCCGCGTTGAACCACCTTGACGGGTCAGTCCAAAGAGAAGGGTCCTTGATGTCAAGATCAATATAATTTTTGAGATCACTGAACCACAGTTCCACTTTTTGAGGAGTTATCACAGCTCTCTCCTTTGCAAGCTGTTGAGGCGTCCTTTCATTAATGATAGGATTTCTCTTTATAAAGGCATAATACCAATCCTTTCCTGGACGATTGTTCTTAAATGGGTTTGGTCGTTGATCTCGCTCTAAAATTTTTTGAACTGTATCCAAAAGCTCATTTCTTGTTCGCCCAAACCCGATTGCAGCCATTTTGCATGCCCAGTCTGCAAGCTTTGCCTCCTCGTTTTCTGTAAGAACTGGACGAGGTCCACTTTTACAAAGCAGTGGCAGCTTACCATTAACTTTATATGATAAAGTGGCTTTTGGTATCGAGTATATTTCTGAAGCCTTGTTCAAACTGATGTTTTTATTTTTAATGAGCATAACTGCTTCTTCCAACAATTTAGTATCATACTGCTTTCTTCGTTTAACTCCAATCTGACGACTCATTCTGTAATATTAAATATTTGAAAATTGACAAAATGTAGACCTCATTTGTTTATTTGTTTTGTTTTGTTATGTTTTGTTTTCTTTTTAAATCCAATTTTAATCAATTTAAAAAGAAAATATTTTAGTAGACTTTTAAAATTGTATGATATTTAAAGAGGAAAAGGAAATAGATCATCAGACTCATTTGCACTTAAATTAAAAAAAAATAGAACTTATTCTGCTTTTCATAAGGTGTCTATCTAATATCTATTCTATTAAAATTTTCTGAGTTTTTTTATTTGATTTTATCTTAAACTCATTTTTATTTAAAATGTTAAAGAAACTAATAAAATAACTTCTGTGTGTGTTTTTGTATATGCTATCTCAAATATGTTTGATTGTTCAATATAATCCGACATCAAATAATATTGTAGGCAATTACTGGACACGTATTGGCTAGATGATCCCGTAAAGACACAATGAATTTGGTTTCGAATTTAGTTTTACACCACTAACTTCCGGTTATTACCGTCTTCCTTGGAAGACGGTATACAGAGTTGAAGTATTTTACAGTCTTCGGACTGTGCACTTCCTCTCTTTTGTGATTGGTAGAAATTGCATGATGAGAAAATTTTCAATTATTTCATTGGTTTAAATGCTGTTCAAGGCAAGGGAGATAATTTTCTGATGGTTTAATTTTCGTACGACTTAACAATTTTTCAAGATTTTCAATCGTAAAAAAATATGATAAAACGAACAGTGGAAATTGGCAGCAATTCGAAATAACATGCTAGATTTTTTATAGCAATTACCAAAAAGCGTTTCTATATTTTCATTGTTAACAGAATTGATCTTTATTGTATGCAAGCTTTACAGCTTGTATGTATTCTTTTCCCCTCTTTTTTTGCACTGTCTTTCTAATCTCGGCAGCACTCGACAACACCTCGGCCGATTCGTACTCATCTACATAATTATCACAAAGGTGACGGAATCAGTCGAGGTTTGCCGAATGATCTCAGCTTACGGAGACAGCCGAGCATATGTTGACGTTTCATTTGCTTCACTTGGTAGGGCTTATGTCAGAAAAAACAAATGAAGAAATACAAAATCAAGAAATTTTCAAGAATTATACGGCCTGATAGATTAGCTCAGTTTACTGTTTAAATTTGTTGCTAAAGACGGTAAGCTTTTTTTTTTTTTTTTTTTAAAAAAAAAAAAGCTCTACTTGTTACATTGCAGAATTGATCATTCACGGAAAAGGAAGCGAGTTATCATTCTATATTTATTAGTCAGCCCGCGGGCTGACTAGTTATCTTACGAAGAACTTCAAATGCGCTTGCGTGTTCTGGAATTCTGGGAGGTAGACTGGTACTCTGACACTGGTTAACCTAAGGAGCGCAAGCGATTCTGGGAGGTTGACTCATCCGAAACACCTCGGGCCTTTCACACTTTTTCTGTGAAAACTCCGAGGTGTTCCAAGCGATTCTGGGAGGTTGACTTACAGTAAGTCACTCCTTTTGTTTTCGTTTTTGTAAAATCAATATTGATTAAACAAAGAAATCACTATTTTAACACCATATACCAATAAAATGTAAAAACAGGTTAACACAGTAAGGCTTTTTGTGCTGATTTCTTTGGAAAAACTGCTAATATTGAGGTTTTGTAGATTGCATTTTCAACAGTTTTATAATCTGGTTAGCAGTAATTTATCTGGTTCGCATAGATCTATTCATAAAACGTGTGTTCTACGCAATGAAGCATAAATTTAAATTGTATAAATTCATTTTACTCGGTGTTTGGCGCGTCAGTTGAAACTCTTTTAAAAAGTATCTTTAATGTATTTTACATGTGTATTCAATTCTGCGGCATGAATATTGGATTATTTCAGATTTTGAAGCTTTCAGTTTTTAGCTCACCTGAGCCGAAGTCCGTCTGTCTGTCTGTCCGTCCGTCTGTAAACTTTTCACATTTTCAACTTCTTCTCAAGAACCACTTTCAACCAAACTTGCCACAAAGTATCCTTGGGTAAAGGGGATTCAAATTTGTTCAAATGAAGGGCCACGCCCTCTTTCAAGGGGAGATAATAAAGAATTAGTGAAAAATTAATAGCATCTTTTAAAAATCTTCTTCTCAAGAACCACAAAGCCAGGGAAATTGAAACTCATGTGGAAGCATCCTCAGGAAGTGCAGATTCAAATTTGTTCAAATCATGACCCCCGGAGGTAGGGCGGGGCCACAATGGAGGATCAAAGTTTTACATAGAAATATATAGGAAAAAAACCTTTAAAAATCTTCTTCTCAAGAACAGCTAAGCCCTGATTGGTCATATTTATATGGAAGCATTGTCAGGTAGTGGAGATTCAAATTTGTCCAAATCATGACCCCCAGGGGTAGGGCGGGGCCACAATGGAGGATCAAAGTTAAACATAGAAATATATAGGAAAAACCTTTAAAAATCTTCTTCTCCAGAACAGCAAAGCCATAATAAGTCATATTTATATAGAAGCATCCTCAGGTAGTGTAGATTCAAGTTTGTTTAAATCATGACCCCCGGGGGTAGGGTGGGGCCACAATAGAGGATCAAAGTTTTACAAAGAAATATATAGGAAAAACCTTTAAAAATCTTCTTCTCAAGAACAGCAAAGCCATGATGAGTCATATTTATATGGAAACATTCTCGGGTAGTGTAGATTCAACTTTGTCCAAATCATGACCCCCGGGGGTAGGGCAGGGCCACAATGGAGGATTAAAGTTTAACAAAGAAATATATAGGAAAAATCTTTAAAAATCTTCTTCTCAAGAACAGCAAAGCCCTAATTGGTCATATTTATATGGAAGCATCCTTAGGTAGTGTAGATTCAAGTTTGTTCAAATCATGACCCCCGGGAGTAGGGCGGGGCCACAATGGAGGATCAAAGTTTAACATAGAAATATATAGGAAAAACCTTTAAAAATCTTGTTCTCAGGAACATCAAAGCCCTGATTGATCATATTTATGTGAAGTATCCTCAAGTAGTGTAGATTTAAATTTGTTCAAATCATGACCCCCGGGGGTAGGGTGGGGCCACAATGGAGGATCAATGTCTGAAATAGAAATATATAGGAAGGTATCTTCTGATGAAGAACTACAAAGCCATGATTAGTCATTTTGATATGGAAGCATCCTCAGGTAGTGTAGATTGAAGTTTGTTAAAATGATGAACCCCGGGGATAGGGATGGGCCACAATGGGGGATCAAAATTTTTTTACATAGGAACATATTGGAAAATATCTTCTTCTCAAGAAATGAAAATCATGTTTAGTCATTTTGATATGGAAGCATCCTCAGGTAGTGTAACATCAATTTTTTTTTTCAAATGATAACCCCCAGGGGTAGGGTGGGGCCCAATGGGGATCGAAAGTTTTACATAAGAACACATAGAAAAAAATATTTCTTCTCAAGAACAGAAAAGCTATGTTTAGTCATATTGATATGGAAGCATCCTCGGGTAGTGTAGATTCAAGTTTGTTCAAATGATGACCTCTGGGATAGGGAGGAGCCACAATGGGGGATCAAAATTTTACAAAGGAATATATGGGAAAAAAAATTTAAAATCTTCTCAAGTACAACAAAGCCATTTGTTATATTGACATGGAAGCATCATCAGGTAGTTTAAAATTCACCCCCCCCCCCCCAACCCCCGGTAATCTTTTCAATACTGAACTGATTTGTGTCTAGCCAATATGCTCAGGTGAGCGATGTGGCCCATGGGCCTCTTGTTATTGGTTTTACTTTCGTTTTCATTTAAAGAATTTCGATACCGATGTTAATTACCAAATTGGCCAGTATGATTTGTAAAGGCATGCAATGGATAGATAAAGAGAGACACAGCTGGCTTCGCCTGCTGCATTCTTTTTTAGCTCACATGAGCTGAAAGCTCAAGTGAACTTTTCTGATCACCCGTTGTCCGTCGTCCGTCCGTCTGTCCGTCCGTCTGTAAATTTTTCACATTTTCAACTTCTTCTCAAGAACCAATGTTCCAATTTTAACCAAAGTTGGTACAAAGCATCCTTGGCAACAGGGGAGTTAAAATTGTTAAGATGAAGGGCCAAGCCCCCTTACAAGGGGAGACAATCAAGAAAAGACAAAATAAGGTGGGGTCATTAAAAAATCTTCTCAAGAACCACTAGGCCAGAAAAGCTTAAACTTACGTGGAAGCATTATGGGTTAGTGTAGCTTCTACATTGTTCAAATCATTATTCCCGGGGTAGGGTGGGGCCACAAAAGGGAATCCAGGTTTTACATAGAAATATATAGAAAAAAAATCTTTAAAAATCTTCTTCTCAAGAACCACTGGGCCAGAAAAGCTTAAACTTATGTGGAAGCATTATGGGGTAGTGTAGCTTCTACATTGTTCAAATCATGACCCGGGGGGTAGGGTGGGGCCACAAAAGGGAATCCATGTTTTACATAGAAATATATAGAAAAAAAAATCTTTAAAAAATCTTCTCAAGAACCACTTGGCCAGAAAGGCTGAAACTTATGTGGAAACATCCTGGGGTAGTGTAGATTCTAAATTGGTCAAACCATGACCCCGGGGGTAGGGCGGGGCCACAATAGGGAATCCAAGTTTTACATTGAAATATGCAGAAAAAATCTTAAAAATCTTCTTCTCAAGAACCACTAGGCCAGAAAATCTGAAACTTATGTGGAAGCATCCTGGGGTAGTGTAGATTCTAAATTGGTCAAATCATGACCCCCGGGGGTAGGGCGGGGCCACAATAGGGAATCCAAGTTTTACATTGAAATATGTAGTAAAAATCTTTTTTAAAAAATTTCTCAAGAACCACTAGGCCAGAAAATCTGAAATTTATGTGGAAGCATTCTGGGGTAGTGTAGATTGTACATTGTTCAAATCATGACCCTGGGGGTAGGGTGGGACCACAAAAGAGAATCCAAGTTTTACATTGAAATATATAGAAAAAAATCTTTAAAAATCTTCTTCTCAAGAACCACTGGGACAGAATAGCTGAAACTTATGTGGAAGCATCCTGGGTGAGTGAAGAATCTTAATTGTTCAAATCACGACCCCGTGGATAGGGTGGGGCCATAATAGGGAATCCAAGTTTTACATCGAAATATATAGGAAAAAATCTTTAAAAATCTTCTTCTCAAGAACCTTAGGCCAGAAAATCTGAAACTTATGTGGAAGCATCCTAGAGAAGTGTAGAATCTAAATTAAATCATGACCCCAAAGGGTCGGGTGGGGCCACAAAAGGGAATCCAATTTTTACATTGAAATATATATAAAAAAAATCTATGATATATTCTCAAGAACCCCTGGGCCAGAAAAGCTGAAACTTATGTGGAAGCATCCTAGGGTAGTGTAGATTCCTAATTGTTCTAATCATGACCCCCTGGGGTAGGGTGGGGCCACAATAGGTATAACAAGAGGGAAAATCTGGTGAAGAACAGCAGGGCTAAAGTTACTCAGTTGAGTTGTGGTCCATGGGCCTCTTGTTTATATTTGAATCCTTATTTGTTCGTCTGTCCATCATTAAATTAGACAATTAGGCTGTGGGAATTCAGTTTGGCTTGTAATTATAAGTTATAAGCATGAAAAGATTGGTAATAAATTTGTAAAAGTGTTTTATTTTATTTTCAAATTCTACATTATTTCAAATGTCAAATAAAGCATTAAAGTTAGTTAGGTAAAATAAGAAAAGTCGATAGACTAAAATATGAAATAAAACGCAAAGTACAGGCTCTAACGAAGCTATTATGTTTATGATGTTACATGCATGATGCCTGTGTTGTTCAGTAAATATTTACATTTGTATTCTAAAAGTTACAAGATTATTTTGCAATTGTCATTTATTTATAATTTTAATTAGGGGGTTCAGTATGGCAGTTGACCGAGACAACCTCTACCAGAGAGCACTTTACAAGTTTCACTAACACCCGTAAATGAAGTTTGCAAAGCTCCGTCTAGAAGAAATTGCCGATGTGAATACTTCAACGCTCTTTTTCCCTAAATAATAAATAAATGTAATAATAAAGTTTGAGTAAACGTCTTTGACAAGATTAGACGGCGGATCCAGAAGGGTGGTGGTCCAGGGGGTTTAGACTTATGAAAGTCTTAAAATCAACGAAAGTTGTCAAAAAAAAAAGATTAAATGGAAAATTAATTTAAAACTGGCTACAGAATGCCATGTATTAAAGCAAAAGTAGTGTAAATTGGGTGCGATGTTAGTGTAGGGGGTTTTGAGAGCTGCCTAAACGTCTTTGTTCCGAATACGCCCCCCCCCCCTTTTCATAAAATTCTAGATCAACCTGATGTGAGCGGCTACTAACTTTGAATAAAATTATGCTATGAGAATTTGAACATAAATAATAAAAATTTTCGTTTTTGTGTTTAATTCACAAAATGATGCAGAACCTGCATGCATGCGATCGTTTTAACCCCAAACTCTCCGCTCCCATGCTGAAAAACTGGATCAACTGGCCAAATCGGCTAATAGAAAATAATGCTGAAATCATTTTTTAATACACAAAATTTCGGTTTCCTAATGCTTTTTAACATTTTCACGAAAAAAGAAAAATCCACTGGCTGACTCTCCAAGCTTTTTTTTAAAAGCTAAACTTGTACACGTGTTATTCTATAAATTTTTGTACTACGTCATGGAAATACCGGAAGTAACCAGAAATAGCAACGTTTTCTTATCAAAGTCGATGTTCTCACTTACCTGGAGCGTGAAGTTTGTCGATCATTCAAAACCAAATCTTCTAGAAAAAATCGCACGTGCCGTTATCGATACGGTATCGAATTATTTAATTGGATGAAAAATGTTCAGTATCTCCCGACAGTTCAATAATACCCAAATCCGCTCTATGTTAAATCGAAATCTAATTTTTTTTTTATTTATTAAGTGGGGAACTTTACTTTATTGATCAATGTTGAAAAGGGAACAAAGTTGACATTATATATTTGTTTCACGTTTTGTACTCCGTAGTTGATGTAAATCGTTGAAGTGGTTCAGACTGGCTGTGGATCTCAGCATCAATATGGAGAGGAATACCAGTATGTTAAAGTGTTCATCTCACGAATTAAGCCTGTTACCGATATATTGTGAAGATTGTGAGTGTCCTGTTTGTACAAAATGTATCACAGGTTGTCATATGAAACACAATCTACTGGACGTGTCTACTTACGTAGCAAGACAAAAGGATGAATTAATGGCGTCAAGTTGTAAAGACTTATCAGAAAAACTCAGGGGTGAGCTTACAGAAAAGAAAACTAACATTGAAGAACGGAGAAAACAGGTCATAGAAGAAATCTCAAGAAGAGAGGATGCCATTATTGCGGAAGTAAAAGATATATCGGCCGATTACAGAAACATTGTGGACGAAGCAGCGTTGCAACATAAACAGAAGATCAAGCAAATTGATAGCGATTTACACAACATTTCGAAAATGCCAGAATTAAAACTGGAAACGGAATCGGACTGCATTGAAGAATTGCATTGTCGAAGCGAACTACGGAGGATTGAAAGGGAAATAAAAGATCAGGATTCAGTACATATTACTTTTGAAGCCATGAAGGGTCATAGCAAAACAAAATTAAAGAAGGTATTTGGAACCGTTTCTGTAATTAACGAGGTTACCCAATCGTCCGACGATGACAGAACAATCGAGAAAAAGTGGCCATTTGACAGCAGAAGTATTGAGGATATTTTCAAAGTCAAAGAGAGAAAACTAGATAAAAACAGTCACCCTATTTGCATTCAATTTAATGTCTTTGGAGATGGAATTCCTGAGGACGTATATCGCTGCAAAGGAGTTTTCTTTTCTGATGGAAAAAGTTTTTTGTATTTAGACGAAAGGATATTTGTCAAAGAAATGCAGAGAAAAGTTTACGAAGTAGTAAAAGATGTCCAGCATTGTTCAGACTATATAGAGCATTCGTCTGAAAATGGACTTCTTGTCATAACTAAAAAAAAAAGTGAATTAGGCCTTCTTCTTGGAAACGGAAACATTATCTCGATATTTAAAGCTACAAAGTCGGATGAAAAAATAGTTGATGTGGTTGAAAATGCTAAAACGGGTATCACTGTGTTATCGGTGAAACAGATCTTTAATTACAATGGATTTTTTTTGAAGTCTGAAGTATCACTGTGGCAAGTCAATATAACTGGAGAATCAAAACAATTATCCTACATGGATCTTAAAAAACATGTAAATGTTTCAAAGATTTGCATATTAAACGATACGACGCAAATAGTTTTCGACCTGGATGGATGTTTGTCGGCATATAGCCAACAGTTAACCTTCAGGTTCCAATACAGTGGTTGCCGTGGCAGTGATCCGTCCGCTAAGTTTTCAGCTTCCTCTGTGTGTTTGGACTCGGATGATAACATTTTGGTCTCAGACAAGTCTGACAGTACCATCCATATGTTAAGTATTGATGGTAATTTCTTAAAAATCATCATCTGGCCAGAAGATAATATGACAGTTATGTGGCTGTCAGTGGACAAAGATGGGTGGTTGTGGATAGGACAAGGTGGACGTCAAAGAACTAGTGACTTCTCTGTATTTGACTTTGAATATCTAAAGAAGATGGAGAGAAAAGAAAGGGCGCTTACAGAAAAACCAGAGACACAGCTTTGAAGAAAAATACATTAAGGAGGGATTCTTCTCGTGTTTATCATATTTAAAAAATAAATGAAATTTTCACACATTCAAGAAGACAATATCACCAAATGATGACGTCAATTACCTTATATTTGACCGTTTCATTAAAAGGTCAAGGTCATAATCTTTTCCTTGTCATTAAGAATCAGAAATTATTGTTGCCAATCATGTAATACTTATTTTTCAATCTTTTTCTTTTTACATAAAAAGTTGATACAACAAAAGGTCCACCAGATAATAATATCAAATTGAGATAAAAGGTTAATCCAAATAGATATTGGGTAACCCGAATTTCCTCTATTTTTCTTCATTTTTTTAGGGAATATTAGTTATTTTAATATGCTTTGTATATTTAAAATTTTATTATTTTTACATATGGTAAAGTAGTCTTGTAAAGGTACAAAATGATACAAAAACCAAAAGTTTTGATTGTTTAATAAGAGAGAAAAACATTTTTACTGAATTTTTACTCGAATCTGTTCTTAGAATCCTTACCTTTCAAAGGCTATAAGATTGTCATTTGTCTAGAAAATCATATTTATTTGATATATTTTAAAACTTTAGTCCATTATTATTAAATTCAGTTACTAAAAACTTCCTTAAGCCTTTGATTGTTTAAAAATGCTTTTTAAATTCTTTGTTCTATAGTAATTTTGGGAAGCAGAAAAGGAGATATTTTCATACGCCACCCTTCCGCCAAAAATATAGCCCCTGCTAGATTTCAAAGTCAGTTTACCATTACTATTTCAAATTGTACAATTATGAAAAAGAAAGAAAAATATGATCTTTAAAATCCTAAATATAAAAGACATGAAAGCAAATATACTTTGAGTATTTCATTTAGTTAGAAACCAGACAAGAATCCCTCCTTAAATGAGAAAATTTTACTTTGTTAGACGGAAAATTGTTTATTCATGCAGCACCTTATTCTTCTGCCGTAAATTGGATTTGCCATTTCATCAGCATTTGCAGAACACTATTGTATATGTTTATTGTGTTTATTTTGTTTAATATCAATGAAATATTTTTAAAGGTTTTTATGACCTAAGAAAAACTAAATATTTTTGAAAACTTGAACGGAATGTCAAAACCTGAAAGAATTCCGGAAAAAAAACTTTGGGGGGAAAAATTACATTCGCAAGGATAAATAAGTATAAAATAGGTAGTATATGCTGGTGCCCCCTCAATAAAAACGTCTGATGACTTTTTTTTTTTTTTTTTTTTTTGCTTGTCAAGAATTTTTGGTAGTTGATTACCTTTTTTTTTTTTTGCTTGTCAGGAAATTTTTGGTAGTGCCCCCTCAACTGTCAACTGAAGAATGTATGGCTGTGCCCCCCCCCCCCCCAAACTGAAATTGCTTCCTACGGGCCTGAAGCTGGAGAGAGTTTGAAAGCTATTTGATGATGGTAAATAACCACACAAAAAGTATCATTTTAAGAGTAAAATCCAAGAGGTTTATTTCAATATAGATAGAATAGGAAAAAAAATTGTCTGTTTGAGTATATGTGCATGTACATGTGTACAGGGTAAAAGGATATCAAAATAGCGTTGGTCCAACATATGGCTGTTTAACAAAGTATGCGAAATGTCTATTTATCTTGAGAATCAACTTTTGGAGACTGACATATTTACTACATATCACACAACTCGTTAAAAATCGTGGCATCGTGGAATTTGTTTGTGATATGACCTTTGAATATATCTTATTTACCTTAAAAATAGAGATTCTGTCCCTCGCTCTGAGCGCCAGGGAAGAATGTCATAAAATATTTGGAATGAATTTTAAGAGAAAGTTGTACTGTAACAGACATACGCAAACAGAAAAACAACAAAAAGAGTCTGCATAAACGCATTTTTACAGAAGTCGCGCCAATATTCACCATTTAGGTTAAATAACCCTATAGCATTTTCAAAGAACAAATACGTCTGATATCTATAAAAACACATAAATTCAAATCCCATGCGTCTCCATTAAACTGTAATTATTGCTCATAAAATCGATCTATCTCTTAAATATTATAGCAAATAAAGCAAGTCTTTACAACAATATCAATAATATAAAAACAATATTGTATCGGATTGTTCATTTTTCCTGTAGCCTATCTGAAAACAACATAATGGAGTAAGTTCAATGTATTAACTACGCAATCCGTCGAACATGATTCTTTTGCTTCAAAACAGTTTCCATCCCGAAAAAGAGGAGAATATTTCCCTCGCATAGGCCCCAAGGAATCCTGATGCAATATTCACTCGATCCCATTCTTGCAAGGAAACAACTATAGAGATTAAACCACTGCTCCAGAGTTGTTCTTTCGAACCTTGCTGCTTAAAATTAAGCTGTCTTGCCCTTGTTCACACCGTTAATTCGCAGATAGGGATGTGCTGCATTTCCTGGGTTTGTAAGTGTTGCCAACGAAAAAAAAAAAACATAATCACCTGCAGACGGTGATGTGAATGTTCCACTTGCACTGTTGAAGTGATTGCCTTCATTGATTCAAAATTCAAAACAGATTCAAAAATCCATGTCTGATCTTGTACGTAGGTTTTTGCTGAGCTCATGTATGCTGAAAATGCGACCCCATAATCTTTAAAAGCAAGTAATAATGAGAATCAGTCTACATAAACTAACAAGAGAAGAATTAGTTAGAGACCTATGGACCACATCGCTCACCTGAGTCACCCTTTTCCTGATGTTCTTCCTCATCAGATTTTAAAAAAGATCGTTTCCCTCTTTGTTAACATGAAACATTTTGACCCCATATTTGGGCCCCTTCCTAGCCTAAAGGAATCGGGACATTCCAAACTTGAATCCACGCCTCATTGGAATACTTCAATATCAATATGACTAACATGACCTTGCTGTTATTGAAAAAAAAATTGTTTCATAAATAATGCAATACCGAGTATGTAAAATTTCAAAAAATGAATTCATACAACTTGGGAATATTGCAAATTAATAAGTGTAGTGTACGTTATTAGCAAATTTATAAGATTTTTTCATTGTACAATGAATATTCCCATGAACACTGTAATTCCCAGTTGTGGCCCCATTTTATCTCAAGGTGGTATTATTTGGACAATTTAAAATCTACATTATTTCAGAAAGCACATACATGTATATAAGTTTCATCCATTTTGGCCTAGTGGTTCTTGGGAAGAATTTTTTTTATCTATTTATTCCTGAATGACTTTGATCCCCTATTGTGGTCCCCACCATAACTCCGGAGGCCATGATTTGAACAATTAAGAATTAATTTACTATATACCTGCTATATCAGGAAATTTATACATAGGTTTCATCTTCCCTGGCCCAATGATTCTTGAGATCTTTAAAGATTTATTTCCTATATTTTCCAATGTGAAAATTTGATTCCTTATCGTAGTTCCACCCTATCCCAAGGGGTCACCATTTGAACATTTTAGAATCCATACGACACTAGGAAGCTAATACACAAGTTTAATTATCTTTTCTGGCCCAGTGGTTTTTGAGAAGATTTTTTATGACCCGACTCTATATCTGTCTTTTCTTGATTATCTCCCTTTGGAAAGGGTCTTGGTTCTTCATTCAAAAAGTTTTTAATTTTCTTTACCAAAGGATGCTTTTGTAACAATTTTGGTTAGAATTGGCCAGTGGTTCTTGAGAAGAAGTCAAAAATGTGACAGTCGTAAACGACACCTTGTCAAGTATCGCCCAAGACTTTGCTCGTCGTGGGTGTTCCTATCGTCGGACACCCACGGGTGATCTCGTCTTTTGCTTATCACCAGTGGGAAACTCGCTGAAATATCGTCTTTTAAAATGCAAATTCGTTGATTATAGCCAACTAATCAGAAAGTTGGAACTCTTCAGTTTTGAAAATACGTTTATTAGTTTGCTATTTATGCTAATATCGTCACGGCGTTAAAACATGTTAATTTTGTTTTACAGCGATAAAAAGACAAGTCGTACATGTCACTGGCATCAAATATCAGTCAGTAATAATATAGGAGAATTCCTTTCTCAAATAGCCAAATATACCAGTGAGTGCAATCGGTATGTTAACTATGGAAAAGCGTTTGTCATTGCCGAACTTACATACGTAACGTAAACTGTGATTCTTTCATATGCCATCGCGATTCTGTCCAGTAGCCAATGAAATGACCCTCGCATATTGATTACATACGACGATGTCCAGGGGTGATATAAGTAAAAGACGAGATCACCCGTGGGTATCCGACGAAGGGGTGTTCTTTCGAGATGGATTGCTTTATTAAAACGTTCATGTTTATGAAAGCACTGGTATCAGTTCATTACGTCTTGTGATTATCATACAATGATAAAAATAATCTACAACTTTCCTTTAATGCATTGAAAACATGATATGTTAGTCCTTTTTAGCTCATCTGAGCCGAAGGCTCAAGTAAACTTTTCTAATCAAAATTTCTCCGTTGTCTGTCGTCGTTGTTGTCGTTCACTTTTTTACAATTTCATCATCTTCTCTAGAACGACTGGGATATTTTTCAACCAAACTTGCCACAAAGAATCCTCGGCTGAAGGAGATTCAAGTTTGTTCAAATGCTTCCAAGGGATCGAGATAATTACGAATTAGTGAAAATTTAAGGGCATCATTAAAAATTTTTTTTCTTAAAAACCAGTGGGCCAGAAAATAAAAAAAAACTTATGTGGACGCATCCTCAGGTAGTGTAGATTTAAATTTGTTTAAATGACCCCTGGGGGTAGGGCGGGGCTGCAATGGGCGATCAAAGTTTTACAAAGGAATATATAGGTAAAATGTTTAAAAATCTTCTTCTAAAAACAGCAAAGTCATGATTGGTCATATTTATATGGAAGTATTCTCAGGTAGTGTAGATTGAAGTTTGTTCAAATCATGACCCACGGGGGTGGGATGGAACCAGAATGGATGATCAGTTTCGCATAGGAATACATAAGAAATCTCAAGAACAGCAAAGATATGATTGGTCATATTTATATGGGAGCA